GCTTTGCTAAGCTTGTTGTAAATAGGGGCTTTAGACCACTGTGCCATCTCACCAGCCCAGGTAGTATTTCCTTTTTTTTTTTTTTTTTTCCAGAACTGGGGATTGAACTCAGGTCCTTGTGCTTGCCAGGCAAGTGCTTATTCTAATAAGCCATCTCCCCGGCCCCTTCAGTTCATTTTAACATCAATACAATCCTCACAATACTGAACAATATAGTTTTAACAATCTAATTTTAAAACTAATCCATTTTCTAGCTGGGCAAGGTGGCACATACCTACAATCCCAGCACTCGGGAGCCTGAGACAGGAGGATTACTTTGAGTTTAAGGCCACCCTGGGCTGCAAAATGAGTTCAAGGCCAGCCTGTACTATATACATAGTGAAGCCTTGTCTCAAAGACAAACCCAAAAAAACAGCAACTCCACATAAGGAATGTAAACATTATGTACTGCCAACATGTTAAAAAAAAAAAAAAAAGGAAGGGGATTTAAGGGATGGGGAAGGGGGAGGGGGAAAAGAGGATAAAGAAGAAATTAAAACATGTTCGTACATGGTCCAACTCCCCAAAGGAATGTAAAAATTATGTACTACACACATGTACTAATAAACTAAAATTTTCAAAACTAATGCATTTTCAAAATTCTTCATTAGGCTCTGAATTACTGTTCTAATGCTCCCTACATCAGCAGAGATAATTGAAAGTCAAATGTAGTTAAAATAAATGCCATCTTTACAGACCTAAGCTCTTGCAGAGAACCTAGCTATAGTCTTCAGATTCCCTAAAACTTCCACAAGAATCGTAGGCCTCCTGGCCTACTGCCTTCAAGCCAGGATGGTACCAAGAGAAGCTTAGGGTCACAATGGACTGGTGCCTGCCTGACTCTTTGTCCCTCAGTCCCTGGGCCAAGGGCTCAATACTTCTCATGAAATCCATCCTTTGTTCAAAGACCTACAATGACTCCATTGACCTTCAATCCACACCCAACAGTTTGGCCTCTGAGCCTCCTGTCAGCACTACCCATGACTTGACCAACCCACAATTCTCCCCAGGCCTCACATGGATTCCCTGCACACACAACTTAGTCATTCATACCACCATGTGCATTGTATATTCCATACTTTCTTTTAAGGATCCTTTCTTTTCTCTTATTTGTAACACAGAAAAGCCATTTCATTTTCCTTGCTTTTTTTTTTTAGTTCTTATATCTATTTGACAGACAAGGACAAAGAAATAACTTGTCCAAGGTCACATAACAAAATGTAGAACAACAACAACAAAAAAAAAAAAAAAAATGCAGAACGAAGATTTGAACCCAGGTCCACCTAATTCTACCTCTCTATGACTAATCCATTACTCCCCAAGTCTATTCCAAAATTTACTCATTCAGAAACCATGAGTTTATCTATTACTTCTCTCAGCAGTTACATATTCTTTCTGAAGTGTGAAAGGTCCTAACACCAGTCTGCCTTCCCATATATACGCCACCTTCCACCATTCTACCCCCATTCCCTGCTCCAGAGAAAAGGACATCTGTTCTATATCTTTTCTGTCTTTCCAAAGTCTTACTGGAGCTTCGAGATTGCTTTATCTATAAGAATATTCAATAACAATAATTATTAAGCAAGGATTTATTTAAAAGAAAATAATACCCCTGAAAAAGGTCTTTCTATCACATTAAAAAAAATCAATCAAGCCAGGTCTGGTGATGCACAGCTACAGTCCCAGCATCTGGAAGCAAGAGAATCATAGTGAATCTGAGCCAGCCTGGGCTCCACAGTAAGTTCAAAGCAGCCCTGCACTACATAGTGAGACACTATCTCCAATAACAAAAAGAAAAAAAATCAAGTGAATTCAGGAATTCATGATAAAACTGCCCAGCATCTTTCCATTACACAAATTTTTAATGACCTTTCCACAGGAATCTTTAGGAGCTAATATTCCATAGTTCCTGAATTCCCCAAAAGTCACTTTTCAAAGCACTGTTTAAGGTTATGGTACTCCTTTAAAGAAATTTACACATCTCTGCCTGACATACTCAGGGGTTCCAAAACTTTGAGAAGTGGTATCTAGTACCCACATAACAATTCAAAAGCTCTTTCTCAAACATTGGATTATTTTGCCAGAGATGATGGCATACATCTATAATGCTAGCAGTGGGAAGGTGAGGCAGGAGGATCAACACAAGTTCAAAGCTAGCCTAGGCTATATAGTGAGACTCTGTTTCAAAAATATAGACTTTTAAAACTAATTATTCCATAACTCATTTGGTTATGTATGAGTATCAAAATTCAAAACAAAACCTTCTGAGAACTTCAGATAGTGGTGGACTATTGTGCCACTCTATACCTATTCTTAGGCTTAGTAAATCCCTTCAACCTCCACCCTGTGTAACAATATATGCAGTTCAACTAAGGGAAGTTGCTAAATACACATAAAAACAAAATTTATCATACAAATAGTCATTGTGGGCAACAACCAACCCAAACAAATTAAAAAATCTTTTAATGGTCAAGACTCTGGGAGGATATGTGTCATTTTTAAAATTCAGATTTCAGTCTCCAAATTAAAAAAAAATTTAACTAAGGGGTATCAAAAAAATCTAATAATTAACATTTATTATTGGTCATGTTGCCTTAAACAAATCATCAGACGCCCCTATCTTTGGCAGTTTTTTCTGTGTGTATGGATGGGGTGTGTGTGTGTGTATAACAAATCTGGCTGGGTATGATGGCACAAGCCTGTTATCCCAGCATTCAGGAGGCTGAGGTAGATCATTGAGAGTCTGAGACCAGACTAGGCTACAAAGTGAGATCAAGGCCAGCCTGAATGCACAGCAAGATCCTGTCTCAAAGAGACAGTAAATAAATTAAATTAATCTAGTATTAAATGACAGGGGAAGTAAGAGAAAAGCCTATAATCCCAGCTACTCAAAGAGATTGAGACCAAAGACCAATGCAGGCCACAGGACGAGCCCTCATTATTAAATAAAGAAACAGTCATATCAGTCAACGTTCCCCCAAAAATATAGTTTGGAAACTATCTCCCATCTTCCTGCTTGGATGCACAACATCCAAAGCAGACATGTTTCAATTTTAAATTATTCATGTTAATGGATAATTATTGTCAGAAAGATGCTGATAATCCAAAATGGGGATAAAAATCGAAAAGCAATCTACTTTGGTTCTGAAATACAGTATATATTTTCAGTGTATTTACCTTCTCAATTATTCCCAGCATGAGCAAATACCTGCATTTATTTATAAAATCTAAGTACATAGTAACTGGTGGTTTAGTTTGGAGAGGTGCTCCAAGGCATGCCAGTTGGCTAGCACAAATTAGACTACTACTCTGCTTGGAACATGAGTGACATCAATGTCATTTATCTTACTGGTTTTTGTTCAGCATTCAACGTCTGAATAGACTAGCACAGCGGGATGGTCACTAAATTTTAAAAGACCTGCCTGAAGAACAATGAGAACAAATACTATGATTAATTCTTTATTGTCAGCCTATAAAGTATTCATGTATAAGTTATGGTTTGATTCTCTATGGCCACCCAGCATTAAGTCCCTGCAGATCTCTCCATCCCATCAGGAATGCAACCTTATTTACTAAGAAAAAAATATCTCTAAATTTTTTAAAGTGAAATAGAAAAAATTTTATTTATTTATTTGTTTGTTTTTGTGGAACCGGGGATTGAACTCAGGCCCTTGAGCTTGCCAGGGAAGCACTTAATCTACTGAGCTACCTCCCCGGCCCCCTGAAAAAAATTTTAAAGTCAGGAATTACTCCTTTGGATCAGTCTTAACGACACTCTCCATACTATCCTTTTAAATTGTCAGAGAAAAAAGATCCAGCCTTCTCAAAAATCTCCTACACATACAGAAGTCAAAGGTTGAAAAATTATCCGCCTTTGATTTTCTAAGTAAAGCATTTTATTTAGTACTTAATAAAAGAAAAATAGGGACGGGGTGGTGACCCATGACTGTCATCGCACCACTCCTGGAGGCTGAGGAAGGAGGATTTCAAGTTTGAACTGTAGTAGTTTAACTGTCAATTTTTTTGAAAAGCTGGGGGTGGTGCTAAGTAAGGCCCTGGGTTCACTCCCCACTAGTCAACAAAAGGGGTGGGAAAATCCTAATTTTTGGCTTTGCACTCATAAAAAGAAAACCCTCTGAAAAGTGTTGGAGAAACCGCCTACATAAAATTTCCACGGTTATTTTTTCCTCAACTTTCCAATTTTCATACCCGAATTGAGACCAGAGAAGCCATCTAGGTTAGACACACACCACCACGAGGGGAGAGGCTCAGCGCTGGTCCTCGCGAGCCGACAAGCTAAAAATACGCCGGCCCAGTAAACAAATCCCAGTCCATCGCGACCGGAGCCACACCGTTAACCTAGTAATTACGAGAAGAGTGAGATCACGCAGCCCCCGGCTTACTCATCATCAGCTTCTCAAGTTTCCATCGGTCATGGCAACTTTTCTTTCTTTCTAAAGTTCCTAAGCCTACCCTTGAATCGCTCTCGCACGTATATGTTTTCGCTCCCCTTCCTCCATTACAGGACGCTCCTCAACCTGGCCATCGAAAAGCACGCCAAGCTTGCATTCCTTTTACTTTTATATTGAGACTTTAAAATGAACTTTCCTCGCAATAGGGATAGTTGCCTGCATCCGAGCAGCCCTGAAACGCCACCATCCCTCCCGGGAAGCCTGGGGGACCAGACCTTGCCACACCGCCCCGCGGGGCTCAGGAAGGGAGGCCGGGGCCGGGCGGGGCCGGGCGCGGGACGCAGGTGAAAGGGAGGAGTGCGGCGGAAGGTGGGGACGAGCCCGGCGCAGGGGGGCGAGCGGGCGCCGCAGGCAGCCGGCTCCAGGTGCAACGCACAGTAACCAGGAAGAAGAGGAGCGGCGGCGCTCGGAGGGCAGAGCTGGGGACTCCGGAGAGGCGGGAGGGGCGGGTGCGGGCGGGGAGGGCGTCAGGGCTGGGGGCTCCGTTACCCTCGCGACTCCCGGCCAGGCCCTAGGCCGGGGCAGAGCGCGGGGCCCGGCCGCCTCTCCTCATTCCTCGGCAGTGACCCCGGGGTCCGAGCGGCCCCTCCCCCGACGACGGTGAGGCGGAGACGGCGGCGGACGCCGCGACCGCGGCTGTGGCTCCGCACGGGATCTGGAACTGGAGTCAGAAGGGACTGATGGGGACCGGCCTCTCCCAGCGTCTTTTTGCCTGCTGCACACTCGGTCGCCACTCAGACTCCAGCGGCCGGTTCAGGATCGGTGGCTTTCAGCCGTCCGGCCGGAAACAAGCGCCCGTTTCCGGCCGGAGCGGGTTGATGGTGACACCCGCGCGGCCCCCGGGCCTCCTCCCGCCCCGCCCCGCCCCGCCCCGCCCCGCCCCGCCCGCCCGTAACAGCCCCGCCTTCAGGGCCGCTCCCCTCGCGGCCGCAACCCTGGCGCCTGCCCCGCGCGTGACCCCGCGCTTTCCTGGCCGTGGGCCCTGCAGTCCAGCCTGAAGTTCTTGAGCTGTAGGGGCGGGAGGTGGGCTCTCGCGACTTTCGGGTAGCATCAGTTGGTTGCAGCCCTCTGGGGAGCAATAAAAAGGGGCGGGGAAGTTCTAAGGTGAGAAGGATGAAAAAAAGCCTGAAATTATAGTTATTCTACACAGTCATTCCAGGCTGACCAGGGGACGTTTTAAGAACCCTTCCTCCGGCTCAGTCTCTGTCCAGTTATACATTTCCCTAGTTCCTTCTCTCGACGTAAACACCCTCCTCTGTAGGGTTCACTTGCGTAACAATGGTGACGACTGAGACGTCTACCGTGGACAGTGAGTACCGTCAAGGACAATTATGCAGCACCTGTGTTTGTTATGCCTCCTGTACATTACAGCGTAACTCAGATACTTACTGAGGCCCTGGTATGTGCAGTGCTTCGTGCTCGGAGCAATTGGGGATTTTAAAAAGTCAACAAGGCATAATCCCAGACATCAGAGATTTTGTAGTTCAGTACAATCATACAATTGTTCTATATGACAGAACTCATATGAGCTATGTGAATAGCACATAGGGCTATGAGACCATAAATAAGTTGTGTTTGTTAAAGGAATTAGTAGATGACAGGAGAATGTAGAGTTTGTGAAGGAGCAAGAGCCATTTAATAAATATCTCTCTTCATGACAAAATAGGACCATTCACTACTATAACCCGTCACCAAAAAAAAAAAAAAAAAAAAAATCCTAAATTTTAATTCAGATTCTAAATACCGTGGTGCTCACAAGACCTATATAAAAACAAATATTGCCATCAGCCCTTCTTTTTCTGCATCACTTCCTGAAATCCTCAGTTTCCAACACCTGAAAAAGAAATTTCCTAGGAGCTGTATCTCCTCTCCTTGGATTTAGAGGTGACAGCTTAGGGACCTGCCTAGAGCCAGTATATACTTTCCTAGGCCCACAGGTCAAAAAGTCTTGCACAGGACAATACAGGTTGAGAGGCAGAGTTGTGCAACCTGGGCCTCAAGCAGGCAAGCATGAGGAGAGTGGAATGAGATTTGGTCACCTGTGCTGTTTCTAACTGAACTCCGATGATTACATTCACTGCTTCATAGCTAAATCTGAGGTGGGAGAGCAAATCCACAAAGGAAGAGCCTCAAAAATCTGAAAACCAGCTCTTACCTCTGTTCGGCTTATCTATGTAGAACAGGGCAAAGAAGACAATTCAGACTTCTGTTCTGAATCCTTACTTCCATAAATAATACTCTCAATTTAAAAAATAAAAACTGAAAGCCATTCTTGTTTAGCCAAGGCTTTCCATGAGCAAATTACTATGAATCGTTGACTATGCTTTTCTAGTCTTAACAGCATTACTCCTTAGGGCTGTCTGGGGCTCAAAGGCAATCTCCACCCTCATTACAAAGCCAGCTTTGTCTTTTTTTTTACTTTTAGTAGTGAACACAAAATGTTTCCATATTCAAAAACTATCTAGGGGTGGTGGCACACACCTGTAATCCCAGCACTCAGGAGGCTGAGGCAGGAGGATTGTTGCAAGTTTGAGGCCAGCCTGGGCTACAGAATGAGTTCAAGGTCAGCTTGAACAGAATAGTGAAACCCTGTCTCAAAAAGAGAAAAAATACATACATACATACATACATATTCAAAAAGTGGTCCAAGTTGTAGATCAAAGCTGCTTAAGTGACTTCACATTCTAGTCCTGCCTAGAAATTTAGGGACCAGGAAGTGATGGAGTTGGAATTGTTTTGTGCCTGTTTCTTGCTCTAATGGTCCATCACTCATTGTTGTTTGTGCAATTACTCAATGAGCTGCTTGTCTTTGGTCAGCCCAGGCTGTGTGGATTGCAGTGTGGTCAGCTGGGCTGGGAGCCAGGCCACCTGGGTTCTGGTCCCAGATCAGTCAGCCTCTAATCCATGAAGTGACTCCCTTCCCATTCCTATGTATCATTTTCTCTGCCTAGATACTGGGGACCTCTTCTCTAATGATGTGCCGCCACCCAGGCTTGTCACTATGAGAGATCCTTAGACATAACTCACTGATGCAGGTGTCACAGCAGCCTGTACACAGCTGACTATCTTTTGTTGTCAGGTAGAATAGTAAGGAAAGAAAGAGAAAGCAGCAGAGAAAACCTACCTGTAGAGTTGAGCCACACTCCCTCAAGTGCTATTCAGTTTGAAGTTCTTTTCTGCCCTAACAACCTGTTTTTCTTTACTCATCATTTACAACTCCTAAGGGCTGCTTCCAGGAGCTCACTGAGCCTTTACTTCCTTTTAAGCAAGAGCAGAAAACCTAGAGCTTTGCGTTAGAAACTAAGAGACAGATACTATTGCAGTGCTGGAGGTAATAGAGCAGGGCTTGTTCAGAGAAGGCTATTTTGCAGCTAACCAGGAGACAGAGGGAGAGAGGGGGAGGGGGGAGAGAGAGAAAGAGACAGACAGACAGACACAGACAGACAGACAGACAGACAGAGACGGACAGGGGGGCAAGCAGACAGAGACAGACAGAGACCCAGAGACAGAGATATAGAGAGAGACAGAGAGAGAGAGTAGTTGCATTTATATGCTTTTGTGGTGGGAAAAAAATCAAACCAAAATAACTTCCTCTTCACCACCACTATAATTTACACAAGTGATTTTGAGTTTCTAAAATGATGTATGATACATGCCTAGGAACCTCAGACTTGCTAAGAATTCTTGAGACTAAAGACCATGAATCTATTTTTTCACAAAATATCCAGGTCTCCTTTAAAGTTAAATACGTTTCTGTCCTATGACCCAGCAATTCTGCTCCTAGGTATTTACCCACTAGAAATGAAAATGTACACACACATACACACACACACACACAACCCCCATATGTGACTGTTCATAATAGTTTCATTTATAATATCCCCAAACTAGAACATCTCAAATGGTCAGAAACAGAAAAATGGACACATATATTGTTCATATCATGAAATACAATCTTTTTTAATAAGATCACCCCAGAAAATTCCCTGTGCTTTCATTCAGTCTTCACTTCTCCCCCAAAGATAAACATAGATAATTTAGCTAGATCGTATGGGCTGTTCTTGAATTTGTGTGTGTGTGTGTGTGTGTGTGTGTGTGTGTGTGTGTGTCAGGAGCTGAACTCAGGGGCTGCAAAGACAGCTCAGCTGTCTAAGCATCTGCTTAGCCAAGCACAAGGACCTGGGTTCCATCCCTGACACTGCACAGCATGCCAGCCCCACCCCTGGCTCGCTGATCTGGCCACCAAGACCAGGCGTGGTGGCGCATGCCTATAATCCCAGTGATGGGGAGGCTGAAACAGGATCACTGTGAGTCCAAGCTACATAGTGAGACTCTGTACCAAATACATAAATTTTTTTCAAAAAACAAAACCAAAAAGCAGTTTAAAAAGTTGTAATAAATTCAAAAGTAAAAAAAGGACACTTGAACTCAGGATCTTGTGTTTGCCAGGCAGTTTTTTTAAATGTATTTAGCATAGGGTCTACAGAGTTTCACTACACAGATTGGATTTACAGTCATCCTCCTGTTTCAGCTTCCCAAGCACTGGGATTACAGGCTGCACACCACCACGCCCAGTCTCAATTGTCTTCGAGTGCCCCAGGGGCGGGGTCAGCACAGCAAGCTGGGGATCAAACCTTGAGCCCCTCTGTCTGCCTAAGCAGGTGCTTTAATCCAACGAGCTATCTGTCTGGCCCTACCTGCCAACTTTTTATTTCGATATGAATGTTTTAAATTTTTTTTTCTTCACAATGTATTTTTCTCTGTGCTGGAGATTGAACCCAGGGTCTCACACAGGATAAGTACACAGTTTACAACTGAGCTATACCCTGAACCCTTAAATGATTTTGAAATTTATTCACATTGCCATGTTAATACATTTAGCTCAGCATAATGACACATGCCTGTAACCCGAGTACTCCAGAAGACTGAGGCAGGAGGATCACAAGTTTGAGTCAAGGGCTAAGCGTGAAGGCCCTAGGTCTAATGCCCATTACCATTAGAAATAAATAAGACTGGGCGGGGGAGGGCACTGAGTGGGGGGGGGCATGGAGGAATCACTGGCGGATCCCAAGGTTCCTTCACCCTTCCCATACTTAGGGCAGGCAAACAGTGCTGAGGCATCAGAAAGACAGTGTGGAGACATCCTGGCCTTTGGCTCATAACAGAGAGGATGCCTTCTGGCACCTAGAGACCACAGGGCATCCTGCTGCCACCATCCTGACATAAGCCTAAAAAAAACATATTTCTGTCCTTAATGTATCTTCTTGACCTCTGGCATGAGTCCAAGGAGCATGTACCCTAAGTGCTTCAGGGTCATAGAAGGTAGTTTTGTTCTGTTTTGGTACCAGGAATTGAACTCAGGACCTTGTACTTGCCAAGCAGATTCTATGCCACTGAGTTGTATCCTCAGCCCAACATTGATTATTATAATAAATACTATTTGCACTGTGGTTTTGATACCCAGGTGGGCTTTGGCAGCCATGCCAGTTCTTTTTTTTTTTTTTTTTTTTTTTTTTTTTTTTTTTCCAGAACCAGGGATTGAGCTCAGACCCTTGCACTTACCAGGGAAGCGCTTATTCTACTGAGCCATCTCCCCGGTCCCAGCCATGCCAGTTCTAACCAGATAAAATGATAAACTCCCCTCCCTACCTGAGGGTAGAGACGCTCAATTACTTAGAGCCCAGTTAATTATCAGCCCTAATTCCCAAATTTTAGAAGCACAAAAGAGAAGCCAGCCCTGGAACTCACTAGACCTGAGCTCTGGGCACCTTCCATTTTTTGTTTGGAGATAAGATCTGGCTA